GTACCGTTCATGAACATTAGGTACACCAGGCAAACCCTGGGACTGTACATGCTCAGGGGAGTAGCTTGGGCTAGAACATTAGCCTCCTTTTTGCTTCTTCTCTTATTTTGTCCTGAGTGCCTTCTTTCAAAACAGTTAGGGCCCAGCCCAAACAGCAATACAAAAGATGGTCCCAGTTCAATATGTTCTGCATGAGATTTGCAGGTAACTGGTATGTTCTTCTTAAAGGTGATGAAAAGAATCATAGGTTGACTGAAAGACCAACACAAATTTTATAGGATTTAGAAAATATGACATAGGGAAAGGGGTGGGAAACTGGGATTTCTTCTCTTTATCTAGAACAGAGAAAACACTGTAGATATGTAAAAGCATTTTCCACTATGTAAATGGTTCTTATCCAGATAAGAGTTAACCATGTTCTGAATCTGTTGCAGACAGAACACAAAAACATAATCAAGCTTTAGGTTAAGAAAGTCCAGTGGAAGGATTATCACCAGCACATTTTGATGAAGCCTCTGTTATTGGCCTGTTACGTACAGGATGCTGGGCAGCTGAGCCTATGGTCTGAGCAACAGCCATGCTTATCTTTTTAAATCTGCTTAGTTTGCAGCAGATAAGATTTATGAAAGATTTCCTAGTTTTGAGGGTAGTTAAGTGATTAAAGAGGCCACCTAGGGAGACTGTTAAATCTCCATCGTTAGAGGTTTTAAAAAACAGATTACACAAACATCTGTCAGGGGCAGCTCAGACGTATGTGATCCTGCCTTCAAACAGAAGGGTGGACAAGATCCCCTGGGATCTCTGTCTAGGATTCAGCCTCTATTCCACACAGCTCCAGCCAGAAGCTTTGTACCTGGGTGTCTTCCTGAAGAGACACTTCTGCCACGGGTGGATTCACTGCTTATATAGCAGTATTGTCAATCTCTTTCCTTCCCCAGAAGAGTACATGTAACAAAGGCAGAAATGTATGTGACATAAGGCTGGATCCCAATACTGCTTAGGAATCACATGCAGCAGGCACAAGTTAAAGGAGTTTGGGAGCTGATGTGCTGGGGACTGGCTGTATTGCTGAGGAGGATAAATGGTTTAAAGCCAGATTTACCCTCTTCTGTGGCCCAATGCCAAGCACAGCCCAACTGGCCTGGAGAATGTAGGCCAGTGGCAGGAGCCATTCCCTGAAGACTCACACAAACAGTTGCCCACGTAGCTTCCCTCACTCTATTTGCTTCCCTGTACATGGCTAACAGCTTGCAAACTGGCAGCAACCCAGGAAGCAGAGGGGAAGACAGGATTCCTGCTAGACACACACATTTGGCCTCACACGTGCTCACTTTTGCAAAATGTAGCATTGTAATGACTCAGTTTTGATCTCCCCAAACCCAGCTTCTGGTACAAGCAAAGATTTTGATCTGTTAGAAGGAGAACTCCTGGTCCTGCAAAGCCACAGGTGTTTGGCACTATGAAAAGGATCGTGGCTGCAAGCTCTGTATGCAGTGCACCCTTGTGCTGTTGATGTCTGGTTCTCAGGGAGCAACCATCATGCAGTCACAGAAATGCAAAGAAAGAAAGGAAAGCAATCTAATATTTACAGGAAAAGTGATCCTACTGAACAACATACAAATTTAGCATTGTAGCTACATTATGTGCACATAGCTATTGAAACACAGTTTCCAGCAGAATGTTTACACAGTTGTCGGCAAGCATATTGTCTGCTTACTTTTCAAAGCCAATTTATATGCAGCACACGTATCAGCATGCATGAAAATTCAGACAAAAACACAGATGCATGCAACAAGCCCTGGCCAGCTATTGCTTCTGTTTATTGTTTGTTGCTCAGAAGTGCCTAGGAACGAGAAGGAAGGTAGCAGCCCACTGTGCTAGGCACTGTATCCACCTCAAACTAAGACAGGTATTTCCCTCGAGGAACATACAATCTCCATTTAAGACAAGATATGAGTGTAATAGAGAGTGAGGGAGTGACATACGGGAATGAATAATAAGAGAATTTATATGTGCCAACTTTATGCTCACATGTGCCAGCTAATTGAATACATGATGCAAATAAATACCCGTCTGCTACTGAAGGCAACAAGTTAGCTGTAATCAGTTGGCAGTTTATCAGGAGCTTCACAGAAGAAGTCAGCCTTGGTGAGAAGTTTGAAGCAGCCCAGGAAAGCTGATAGATAGATTTGTTTGGAGAGGGCATAGCAGAGAAAAGTGTCAATGTGGGTGAAAGGGAAGGGTGTGTGACGAGTGAAGTGGATGAAGGAGGTTGGTATAATTTAGGCAGCAAAGCAGGGAGTGCTCAGGTAGAGGGGTGGCTAGGAGGAAAAGATGTGAAATTCATGGAATAAAGAGTTTGCATCTAAACTGGGGGGAGGAAGGGGTGAGGAGCTGGGGAAGGGAAAAGGCAAAATGCAAAAGAGCATGAATTTGTCCCTGCCCTTTGGATGAACCTGAGAGGAATGAGGCCAGTGGGTGACAGGAAAGCTTGAGTGAAAAGGATCAGAGTGAAAATTCTGCCACTGCAGCCAAAAACGATGTCTAAGAAATTGTATGGAGACACCAAACCAGTAACAAGAAGTGCTGGGAAATAAGAGATGAGGTCTTCTCCCCATTCAAGAAGGAAAGAGAAATGGAAACACCTCTAGACAAAGCAGGAATAATGCTATCTACAGGAGAGGTAGCACCAGAGACAGAGAGTGAAGTGTGCCCAAGGTCATACGTAATGACCAGTTCAAGAACATACTTCAATTTTAACAGCTAGCTGTATTGAACCACCTCCACCCAAGGTTCAAAAGGACAAGTCTAAGGGAAGCAGTGAAAAGATGTATTACTCCCTTTTTGTGAAGGGCTCTGAATGGTTTTGCAGAAGGTACCTCCCTCCCTGCATGTGCTTGTTGCACAGACCTCAGCCTTGTCCCTTGACTTAGGGGCTGAGAGTCAGGTGGTGTGAAAACCACTCATCAACAAAATTACACTGAAGTCCCTGTACTGTAGTTGTCCATGTCACTGTGCAGACAGATATCCTCTCCTCCAAACTCTCTGGCAGGTACTATTTATGTTCAATATTGTTTATATTCCACAAAACCTCCACAGAGAGATGCCAAATCAATAGGCCAAGAGCTGGAATACAGTCATTTCGTGCCTTTATTTTTCTATTTTTTAAATGACAGTGGTATTTCTACAACTCTGCAAAGAAGCACTGCCACCTGCCAGGGCCATGGAACCACTGACAGCCCTGACTGTCCCTTCCTAACTCCCTAGGGTTCCCCACACCCTGCCCAGCTATATTGGTTTACATGGCAAGGTTTTGGTAGCAGGGGGCTGCAGGGGTGGCCTCTGTGAGCAGAGCCCAGCAGCTGCCCAGTGTTAGATAAGGGCCAGTTTCAGATGGCTCCAAAGGGAACCATGTGAGAACATATTTAAGAAAGGAAAAAAAAAATGCTGCATAACAGCAGCTGGGAGAGACGCGTGAGAAGCAGCCCTGCAGACCCTAAGGTGAGTGCAGCAGGAGGGCAGAAGGTGCTCCAGGCAGGCAGCAGCAGTCCCCCTGCAGCCCATGGGTCCCACATGGAGCAGATCTCCACACTGCAGCCCCCCCATGGGTGGAGGAGCCCCCGGTGGAGCAGGTGGATGTGGCCTGGAGGAGGCTGCAGCCCATGGAGAGCCCCCACAGGAGCAGGCCCCGGGCCGGAGCTGCAGACCGTGGAGAGGAGCCCACGCAAGAGCAGGGGGTCTAGGGGGAGCTGCCATGAGATGCCCACTGCCTGGGGCTGGTGTCCTGCTCCTGGCTGTGGTGGTGGGAGGGATCCTGCCTGCCTGGCCCTGCCTTGGTTTCCTTACGGCGAGCCCCCATAGTGCCCAGTCCCAGGGAGGTCTTGCCACATCCTGGTGCCAGCAGCCTGAGAAATACTGGGACAGGACAAAATCAAAGGATGAGCTCAGCCTTGCCCATCCTGAGCCAGCCCCTCCACACAATATATTTTAAGGTTTTCTAAGTGCAAGGATATTTCTGTTTTCCTTCTGGTCCTGAGCTACCAATGTCTAATGTGATCTTGTCTCATCTTCTCTGCAACAGCATTACGTGGCACCCTGAAGAGACAGCTGTCACCACCACCTTACCACCTCTGGGCCACCTCATTCAAGCTCGAGCTGGAGCCCAGTGCCAGGTCCCCCTGGGTCTGGGCCATACCACAACAGAATATGACAGCCATCCCCAGCATCCCCACCTCCATTGCCACCACAGAGACATCTGGCCCAGACACACTGCTTTTTCCAAAAAGGAGAAGGCCAGACCAAAAGGGACTGTCCATGGGAAGGACTGTGGGAATGGCAATTCATAGACAGAATTAGTCACACCAGATTACTCCCTAAGAGGTGCTGAGTCAAGGAGCCTCAGGGTCTGTGCCTATGGCATTTCTTGATAATAAGTGAAAAGCTGTTCACCTTTCAAGACACACAGATGTAGAGAAAAAAAAAAAATCAGCATTTTTTACTTTCTTTTTCAGCCAAACCCTTACTGGGGCTGTTACAGATTATTCACACAGCAGCCCTGCCTGTGCTGACTGATCAGATTACTGCACCAATGCCTCCATGGCTTTCAAATTCATTTCACAGGTTTCCAAGAAACAGATGCTGATACCTGATAACTGGCAGCACCTGGCTTCAAAACATTTCATCAGTTCATCAGCCTCTAATGTCTCGAGTAACATCCCAGCTTGGTGGAGAAATGTTACCCTAACCAGCTAACATATTTCAGTGTGGGGAAATAAAGCTCCTCTTATGTACCTGTTGACATACTGATTCACACCTTGATGCTGTTGCTGGAGCTATTTAAGTACGTGAAGCCTAAGTGAATACAATGATCCTGTTTCAAACATCAGGTGAGTCTGGCTTCCTGTAGCAACCCCAGTTACCTACTTGTCACAAGCAGCTTCACATGACTCTAAAACACAACTGAGATTCTTTGAAATATTTTTAAATTAAAAGAAAACTCATCATTTGCATATGTATTTTTTATTCTCAGAAGACACAAACTGTGATTACATAGGTAATAGAAGAAAACAAACCACATGAACTACTTTCTTCTTTACAGAGCTCTGAATTTCAGTATTTTAACATGTTTTCTAACATGATGAAGGTAAGACATTGAATACAGTACACACACTCAAAAATTATTACACATTAACCACTTAAAAAACAAACACCTATCCAACTAGTTTCACCAGAGTTCTGTTTCCCACAAGACAATTTGCCATGCTGTAGGACAGAATGATGCAAGGAATTAACGTGACCCTACGCTAACAAGGCTCTCAGGTATCTAATTGCAGAATGGCAAAAATGTTTAATAGAGGCATGTTAAAATACACACCTGTCATTCCCTGCCAATGCATGATGTATACCCATAGCCAGTGAGGTCAACAGAAGGATTTGAAACAGATTGCAAAAGGATAAAGGAAAGAAAAACTGTTTCTTGCACTGTACTTCTAGGAAAGTGGAGCCATGATGACAACAAAACATCGCTTGACCAGTTAAGACCATCTATAACACCAGGCACAAGGAGTTGATAAGGGCAACAGAGTGAGACAGAGAGAAAGAGAGAGAAAGCAGCGCTGTCCATTTGGCCCTGCAGGCACTTTGGGAAGCCACCTTGGTGCTGTGGCAGCTTTGGAGAGGACTGAGAGGCCAGGAGACAGCCGTAGGTGGGGCAACTGCATCAGCAATGGCAGGGACAGTGAGCTCTATGCTGTCCCAACCCAAATGCCTTCTTTTCACTCCCCATGACAGGACTTCCAACAGCAAAGTGTATTTTTACCCCCTCTCCTAAAGCCTTGAGCCAGCTTCTGCTGCATTCACCTAACAAATAGGTTGCCATCTTCAAACCAAGTCCCATTTCCTATATTATTTTAAACCTTCTATTAATTTCACTGAGGTCTCAATTCACTCTGATGAAGATCAGTGAAAATTCATTCTCAGTTTCTGAGTGTCTTGCTTGTTTTACAGCAGTGCATATCAGTGGTTAATTAGCTTCCCAGTCTGTGGATAGGGTGTATCCATCAATTTCTGTGAACAAAATACACTAAATCTATGCAGTAGATCTACCTTTAGACAGGACAGTTGTAAAGCACCAGGCACCAATAAACACCAATCAAAACCTGAAGAACCCAGTATTGCCAAACACTGCTACCAGTAATACAACTGATAGGAGCAGGCAATTTTTAAAGACAGTAATTTAAGTGATATATGTAACACCCACAAATACAGTACCTCAGACTAGATGAACCATAAAGTGGTCTAAATGTATATCAGATCTCTCATTTTAGTTGCTGCCAGTTCTACCAAATGATTGTGTCATTGATATACTAATGCCGAAACGTTATGTCGTATCTTAGAAGGTAACCATCATTGTAAACATACAGTTTCTGATCTGTGGGGCTATAATCAATACCCTGGATTGTATCTAACTTTTTATCCATCATGATATTAACACGACCTTCTTGGCCAGTATTTGTGTCATACATGTAGAAGATTTCCTCTTTCCTAGTGTTTACCGTCCTTGTGGCATACAGAACACCACATAGCATGAAAGCATTAGAAACAGATGGCTTGTACTGTCTTGTCTGCCAAGTATTTATCACATCAAGTGTGGTCTCATTGAGTTTGCTAATCACAATGTTGCCCATGTTATTTTCTGTTGAATATAATACCCATAATCCATTTTCATCTACAGCAAAATCTATGTCTTGCCATGATACACCTGCATATGAGAAACGGTTACCAGTAATGACATTTGGAAGTGCCTTGCTCAAAACTATTCTGTTATTTGCTTATATCGTACTTTGCTATGTTTCTTGAAGAATAAGCATGATAGTACAAAAAATTATTATAAAGAGCAGCACCACTTCCTTCTCCATATGTTATCTTCTTTCATACATGGGTTTAAACAGCAGCAGATCATCAAAGGTCTTATAAATTCTAAAATATTCTAAGTATCTCCCATCCGTATTCGATGGTGCAACCCAATAGACTTCCTGCTCAGGGTCAGAGGGAGAGTAATCTCTACCCCAGGAACCATATCTGTAGGAAGATCCTCTCCAGTTCAGCTTTACTACATATGGCTGGCTAACATTCAGCAGTCCACCATGAATGCAGCTACCTGTAGTCAAAGAGAAAAATGAACAGGTTTTCCAAATGTCATCATTAAGAGAGAGGTTTTGCATAGTGTAGCCTCTATGGTGTGCTTACGAGAGATTAGCTTTGTGGCAAAGCACAGACATAAATTCACAGCTTCATGTGTAAAAAGCCTCATTTTGGACCATGGTCATCAACTGGGTGTCACTAAGTGTTTCAAGCTGACTTAGAAAGTTGTTAAAAGATATATATATCTTGTTAAAAAAATAAAAATAAAAAAATTGTTAAAAGATATATAATTTCAGAAAAATTTGTGAGGAAAAACAAACAAACAAACAAAAAAAGATAGGGACATCCATCCTCAGGATTAATTTGCAGAAAGTAAGAGCTCACAGCACCTTTCCAGACAAGGGACAGATTTTTACCCATTTAATGCATGGTACACTTGGAAATCCCTTGATAAATACAATTTGAGAAGCATTTTAGGTTATTTTCTACTTCAGTGGAACTGAGATTATTGGAGATAGGAAAGAGGGGCATCTAATTTCTGTGTATTTTGCTGAGGAGGGGAAGAAAGGAGAAACAGCAGCAGTAATTCCAGAGCCACATTTCAGATTAGCATTCTGCTGTCAGAATCACAGTTTTGCAACAGTGCATCACAGCCACATGGTGCCTTCCACCTCAGGCCCTCTAAGAAATCTGCAAACAGTAACAATCACAGCCTAGGAAATATAGATAGATATTACTCCAAGTTTTCATTTGAAGCAGCTAAAAAGAGAATGTAATTTCAAGCTGAACTAGAACAGTTTTGTTTTCCATACATCAACCATAAAGCCATTTTCAGGATCATGGAAATATTCTTTTCTTTTTTTTTTTATTTTTTTATTTTGCTACCCAAAATGTTCGACTTTTTGTACCTAAAGAATATTTTCCATGATGTGCTACTGGGCTGGGTAGAATTTGTTCCACATTTACTAGGAAAAAAACAACAAAGTGGAATGAACATTCAATGATGATGAACAGTATTTGGAACAAAAATGTCCAAATAAACTTATACACAATAAATGCTTTCCCTTTATTCATAGTGAACATCAGTGACATTGGTTTCCTGGTAGATTCTAACCATCATAAGTCACTAGTGGAAAAAATCCTCCAGACAGAAATGCCCATGCACCTCTGATGAGCCTGAAGCTACCACTGGTAAAAACAGTACACTTTTCTTCAAGAGTAAAAGCATTAGCTTGTGTTATGACTGCCACAGAAAGGTCCCAGACATCATTGGCAGGATGTGCCCACCTGTGGTAGTGGAGGCAGAGATGTCAAGTGACTGCCATTAGCTCACAAGCTTAGTGGTACTCTGAGGTTTCCCAAATCAGTGAGGTGCTCCAGCCACCCAACTGCCTTCCTTCTTAAAGATGAAGTATAACCTGAACAGATCCAAGTCTCCCATGTCAATTAACCAACAAATTAACAGCAACAACTTTTTGATGTTAATAATGCCTCACAGCACAGGAACTCCATGTACCACCAGTTATGGTGTCTACAAAGAAAGTCAAATTTATCTTTTGGGGTTTTAATACTTTTTGTAGGTAACATCATGATTGTTTACCATCTGTATGAGACCAGCTGGTCGTAAACTCAGTCTTATGAAGGAATATCTAGCATATAAATAAGTCATGTCTTAGCACAAAGAAGACAGAGAAGTAACAGGGAGAAAATTTACCATTTGCCATCAAAGCTGCCCATCCCTAAGAAAGGCTGGAGCATACTCATGGAAATTGATTAAAAAACACTTAAAGCCACTGCTAGGAAAGGCCTAGGAGGAATCTTATGTTCAAAGACATACTAGTCCTATCCCACAAGTAGAAATGTGGAGAGAGAACAATCTGAGACACTCGTCTTTGGAAAACACTGGGAAACAAGATATTTTGTGAGAAGTAGACTGTTGCAAACAATAAAATAAAATAAAATAAAATAAAATAAAATAAAATAAATAAAATAAATAAAATAAAATAAAATAAAATAAAATAAAATAAAATAAAATAAAATAAAATAAAATAAAATAAAATAAAAATCTTTTTAAGAGGTAGGGAAAGGTGCTCTACCTCTGGGACAAGAAAATTTGTGGTCTGAACGTTAGAAACATCAAAGATAGAGGGTAATATTTGTGTCAATGTGTAAAATCGATTTGGGCAGTGAAGCTCTCCATGTCTCCTCCTTTCTTGAAATGTGGTATTTATCTCCTTCCACTACGTAACATCCTCACCCGTCAGAGTCTTGTACTTTCTTGTGCTAATGACCTAGTGGAAATGTGATTCACCTGCAGCCTCCCTCTCAGCCTCTCTGAGGAAGGTGGGGAGCATCTTTATATTAAATATAAATCCCTGTGCAGAACTAAACCCTTGTGTCTCCAGGCCACATTGGCAACTCCCTTGGGGTCAGTAATCCCTGTGGGAGCAGCTCTGCATGACTTGAGAGGGTGACACAAGTCATGAACAACCCTGTGTCCTCACTCAGTCCACTTTTCTGTCCTGAGATTCTCTCAAGTAAAATGTGTGACAGCCCCAGTTGAGCCACCAAGAATTACAGCAAGTCAGCCTTCCTGGCCCTAAGAAGATGAGCATTTAAGCATGCACTTCAGTGCTTCACAAAGGATGAGGCTCTGGATCAGAAAGCTCTTTCCAAACACAGCACACAAGGAAGGCACTGCTGTATGGATAGCCGGGCTGCATCTTTGGAAACGTCACACGGCATGGCTAGCAACATGGCCTCAGCACTTGGCACACATACTACTGTTTGGAGGTGCTCATACCTCAGCTCATGCAAGGGCAGAAAACTAAGGCAGACAGTGCAAAATGGCTTGCAGCCTGCCAGCTCCATATATCAATTTGGACTGTGTTTTTCTTATATCTCTATTATGCATTGTTACCTCTGGCATGAGGGCTTATTTTAAGCTGGTGACATATTGAACATATTACTGTGCTTAAATCACAATAAACTTATATCAGAATTAAATGGTTATTAAATGCTCAAAAACTCTCGATTTGTTTAGAAAAATATAGCACCAAAGCTTGCAGGTAGTGAAGCACGGCTAAGCTCATCTATATGCGACCTCAAATAATTTTTCATGTCATTAAGCAGAACACAATTCCAGATTTATTTTAATAATTCATACATTGTTTCATAAATAAAAAACAAACGTGTGTTCAGCAGAGAGACCTTTTTTTTACAAGAGAAATAGTAAAGTATTATTTCTTCCCTTAAAGAGATCTCTCTGCTGAACACTTGTTTGGTTTTTATTTATGAAACAATGAATTATTAAAATAAAGTTAGAAGCGTGTTCTGTTTTAATGACATCAAAAATTGTCTGAGGTTTCTATATAGTATATGCTTGATTTTGAAAATTCTCCCAGAATTTATTTTTTTTTTTTTTAACAAAAAACTCTGTGGTAGTCAAGGGGTGATCTGTCTTCTGCACAAGTTCAGAAGAACTCATTGTTGTTTATTTAATCTAAACTTGCCTCTGTCTGGATCTTGTGGGGAAAAAGATGCACAAAGGAAACAAAGTGTCATGTAATTTTTTAAATATTAGAAGATACTTGAAATAAATCCATATGCATTATTCAAATTTTCAAGTTTTTAACTCCTTTTTCCACTGCTTTGCGCCACTGATCAATTAAGTCCTGAAATTTTTGCCTTCCCTTTTGTAGCAAACAGGGGTGAGAAGGACTGATGTAGATACATAGACACACAGGTCTCTTCTCCCTGCATAAAGCACCTGTATCTCAGCTCTGTTGTTTACTAATCCTTCTGATCCATCAGAAAAGGAGCTGGCACTCAGGTGTCATGACTGAAAAGAGCCTGACTTCCTTGGCTGACGGCCTGGAGAACCGAGCATGAAATGCATCCCATTAGGTCTCACTTCACCTATTTCACTCTGAAGCACTCACCAAGCACATCAGCTTATCACTCCACAATACAGGTGCCAAAAAAAAATCAGCAAGTAGCTAGCTGTATCTGATTTCAGAGGATAAGGGACCACAGTTCACCTTTGCAGGTGAAGATCACAAACAAGGTAGCACCCACATTAAAGGGAACTCCCACGAGGGGCACAGAAACCAGTAGCAGGCTGGTGCTGCACTCTCTCATGCACGCTGCTGCATCCAGATGTGCACCCTCCTTTCCTATCTGCATCCAGATGTGTGAGCTGCTACTAGCCTTGCTATGGCTTGAGACACAAGAGACAGAGCTGCTCAGGGAAAAAACTTATATTTGCTCCTACCATCTCACTAACAGGAAGACCCACACAGTCTTCTGTGTCATGCCCAGTGATACCTTCTCCAGGATCACAGGGCATGGGCACAGACTGATGGAGCTGCGATCAGAGTAGGTTTATTACTGCAGCATCTAAAAGGGAATGGGCTGGAAGGCTTAAATTCATCTGACTTGCCTTCAGGCAGCTAAAAATTCAAGTGCCTTTATAACCAGCAGAAAAATGCATTTGTCTCCAGGGGCAGTTCAGGCAGTCTTGGAGAGGGGGCGCTGGCCAACTCCCTTCAGGTGCCAGTAGGCATCTGTCTCTTTCTGTATGGACTTACCGATTTCAGAACACAACCCAAGACACCCCCAAAAAGCAGACATCTTGAATAGGTAGGAGATAAAGTTTAAGGTAAAAGTGAAATTGTTGTAAGACTCCACTCAATTATGAGTGTCTGAGTTTCAGCATTAGGCTACATCAAGTCTTCCTCCTGCTGAGGCCTATTCACTAGTAACTTGAAATTATTAATTTCTAAATGTACAAAAGCTGAAAAAAAAATCTTTACTCTTTTTCTACTTTTTTTTTTTCCTTTGAGAGTTTCATTTGACTCACTTTTCCTTGCTGTCTCTCTCAGATCATTTCAGTGAGATGTGACAAAGAATCTGCTGCTGAATCCTCAAAGAACCATCATGGGGTCCTTTTCTCTCTATACTTGTCCTGATGCAGCAAGATGAAATCAGTACAAAAGAAAAACAAATGGATAAATATTTCTACCCGCTGGAGTAGTGAGGAAAGAGATGGTGAGAAGTGCTGCAGATAAGAAAGTTAGTGGTGATGATGAGGATGAGTAACTACATATTTGCTGACCCCATCTCAGTCACACAGACACCCACCTCTCCAGTTGGAGGGCACAGCAAATGGAGACAAGCAATCTTCAGATACATTGTTTGAGAAAAGGGGCCTGCTCTGAGAATACAGCAGCAAAAGCCTTAGGGGACAGAGTCAAAGGGGCTGCATAGTACAGTACTGTGAAGCAAGAAGCTTTAATTAAACTTGCCTTTAGACTCATGGTCTTAGACAGCTTGGGGATTATCCAAGCTCTCTCTAATTCATATTGCCTACCCAAAATATGCAGGAGAGAGGAAGAAGGGAGAAAGAAAATGCAGTCTGAAAACAGGACAAAGAGTCAGTTTAATACAAACATTATAAATATAATATGAACTAAAAGCAGGGCAAGGCCAAATGGTTTGGCAGGAATTCAAGGCACTCAAGCTTGCAGAGAAAACGTATGGAAATTGTGTTCAAATGCACAAATGAGCACAGAGGCCTAGGTGTGAGCATCCATGCAAAGCCTCCAAAATGACCATCTAGAAAATGTAGCTCTCTCACATACTTACTCCATCTCCCCAGGCAATAACATTGTCCTACTACTTGTTTTCAGACACAGTCTGCAGTATGTGTAATTGCTCTACAAAGTTCTCTGCCCAGAGAAGGATATTTGCTCCCCATCAGGCACAATAAGTCACAGTATTTCTGCATGGATCAGCAGGCATCTAAACCTACGTAACACCCAGATTATCTGTATAATTGGGTTCTCCAACTGGCAGGAAACTTGCCAGCCCTCCACAGGTGCTCTGCCAGTCCCTTGTGCCAGCCGCAGGGACCTCCGTCACCCCAGAGGTGACCATGACAATACGCCTACATCCATCTTCCAAGCCCTCTAGGCCTCGTGTTGCTGGTGGCATGAGATAAACTCACAGACAACACCGGAAGATGTCTTTAGATGATGTCAGTTGTGATAATTCACAGGAAGTCAACAGAGGTAGTTCATACCACCCAGGGTTTTGGCCTTCTAGATTATTTTGTGCTCTGTGGTTTCCACACAATGCTGAGCTGTACCTGAGCCAGCTGACACACCAGTCAGGAACAAGGTAATGCTCAAGCAATACCAATCTGATCCCAGATAAACTCTGTCCATCTCATCACTGTGCCCTGACAAGCAATGCTAAATAATTCTACTACAGTCACAACCCTGTGCAGTTACATTTACCCCATCCTAGCGATATCGTCCTGCTCTAGGCGTGACTTGCCTATCTCCACATGGAGCTGCACTATGAAGGGCAGACCTCCTTCTCCCACTCTCTGAAAGCTCCTATGTTCCACAGACTCTCACATCAACCACCCAGGCATGAAAGCAGCTCCTTCCTCCACCACTCATGGAAGGACACAGCATTCTTGTTACAGAGCTCTGTACTTTCCCACCGAAACAAATACTTGCTGTAGGCTTGAAGAGAAAGAAGTTGTTTCTTTCCACACACCATCACTCTCAATAAATCAATGAGATGCCCTTCAAATACTTTTAAAACATTGCATTAGTTGTGTGTGTGTGTGTGTGTGTGTGGTTTGATTTGTTTGTTTGTTTTAATTGAAGCATTTTAAATCTTTCTTGAGGAGCTGAGAAGGGCCTTGAAATTTTGCAATACAGGTCTTTGTTTCAGCTTTTTCTCCCACCTGATCCCTAGACAAGGTGTTGCTTGCACATCCTGTCAGAGCAGTGCAGCAGCTGCCTGCACCATCATGAAGCCCTGAGGAGACCATAAATTGGAACAGCTGCTAGCCCAGGGAAAGCTTGTCTTTCTACCAGTCCTTGTCTCTCACATTTTCAGTGAGACACCTGAACTAAGCTGACCCAAAGATGATGAGAAGTAAATGCTAGTAGGTGCAAATCTGTGCTCCCTGAAAGCCAGACATCATGCCTTGTTTTTTTATGGGTTCCTTTACATTTAGTCTTGCTGATTACTAGCCAGCTTATGTGAAAAAGCAGGATTCTTCCCCCGACTACTGTATACAATAGAGTTCTTCCTTTTTTATAAAGCTCTGCCAAAAGGAACCCCCTGTGTATAAATTACTCAAGGGTTCAACATTGTCCGATAAATCCTACCATCTGTTAGCAAGTGGGAAGCTTGACCCAGCATACCTAAATTAGTGTTCCCTAAACATTTTCCTCCAGCTTATCATCCCCGACTCAAAATTTCTCAGACTACAATTCCTTCGCAACAAGATTTTTCAAACTGAGCACACCATCAAGAGAAAAATTATTCCAGTTGTAAACTAATTGCCACATGCCCTGTGACAATTGCTACTTTCATTATGAACTGCCCTCTGGGAACCACTGATCTAAGCTCCAGGACATAACCTTTCCTATTTTTAAAAAAAGGGTAAAATCCTAGCTCCACTGAAGTCTTTAATAAAGCTCCCACTTATTTCCCTGGGACCAGAACTTCCCCCCAAGGTTCTTGACCTTCTGATTTAGAAGAATCTTTTGCCTGCAAAGCAAAAGTAATCATCATGCAAAGCTACCTTCCTGCGTTTGCATACCAACAGCTTTAGTTGTTGCTCATACATTTCCCAAGCAGTATTAGAGTAAAATTGTCATGACATAGGTCACTTTGACAGGAACTATTAAAAATCAAAGCTGGACTGAAAAAAAAAAAAAAAAAAAGTTTGGAAAAAAGAGAAGGTGGGGGGAGAGACTGGCTTTTCACACTTCAGGTGAGAGGAAATTTACAATTTTTTCCAGTTGAAAACAGCTAAGGTTTCTGGAGGAGTTTGTTTGCTGCCCTCTTTTTCCTTTTGAACCTGTTAAAGAAACATTACTAGCTGTCTGCTTGATTTTTCAAAACTAGGTAGTATCATTACAGTTGTTTTTAATACCCATGTATTATTTTGTTTCTCACCTGATATACGAGAGAAATGCTTACCTGGTGGGAAGTAAGGGGGTGCTGTCGTTTGGTTTCTGCTCTCCTCACACTCCTTCAATCGATTTTGAAGAGACACAATTTGTCGACGAATTGCAAGGATATTGTTTTTGTCCAATGATTCTAATTCATTTACTAGTATAGTCAGATTTCTGATCTAGAGTGAAAAGAAAAAGAAATAAAAAATAAAGAAGAAGAAGAAGAAGAAGAAGAAGAAGAAGAAGAAGAAGAAGAAGAAGAAGAAGAAGAAGAAGAAGAAAGAAAGCGAGAATTAAAAAAAAAAAAAAAAAAGTTTAAATTCCAGTTAACTTTATTTTACAGATATTTGCAGGCAGATTTGATCATATCATGGAAGAAGCTACAGAACAAGTTTTAAGAAATATCCCTAAGAATAGGTCTTTTTCTGCTAGTCTTACATTTCCAGCAGAGCTATGCGATCACAGGGAGCTGTTTTAACACTCAGTTCTGTACTATAATGCAAAATATAGTGTTATTTTATATGTAGTGTAAAAATATCCAATAAGTCTTAGACAAGTGCAAGTTATTATATATAAGAAAGTACTTTTTCCAGTCTTGCAAAATTATCTTCAAATTTTATTTGCAAAGATAATGTTTTCAATCACCTACTTGGTGATTTAGAGGACAATGGAGAAACTAATAATATTTCACTTCTCATATGAAGCAATTATTCTCTCTAGGTGAGTGATTAATTATAATTTTGAAAATGTGATTTATAGTCTGCTGGGAAGGTGATAGTCTTTCCCACTTCTTGATTTCATATTGATTGGGCCACTGCCCCAGCAACCAGAAGTTAATTTTTTAATTATCTAAGTTAAAGCACAGAGGCTTTCAAGCATGGGGGTCTATAAATTAATATTTATTATAATAAGTTAATAAGTTAATGCGCTTAATGCTATGCAAAAGCATTTGCTTTCAGGCAGACATGTTGGCAAAAAATAAAGAAGACCCCATTTGTTTGGTTTTTTTTTGGTTGTTTGGTTGTGGTTTTGTGTGTGTGTGTGTTTTGTTTTTCTTTTCTGTGTCCTTTTTCAAGGAAAAGGATGTTAATACATTTAAAGTCAAGCTTTCCTTTCATATATACTGATGAAATTCTAAAATATTTCCACTGGCTGCAGCAGAGAGGGGCTATATTTCCTCAACCTAAACATGAACAAGAGAATATACTGTGTATATTGACCCCTTTTTGGCTAATTAAGAGTCCAGCAGTACCTCCAAATATATTTGATCAACGATGACATTGCTTCCAATAACAGTGGATTTCAGCTGAGTGACCAGTCTGTCTAGGTCACTGATTTCCACTTTCAGTAACTGGAAGTCTAGTTCTGTGTAAGATACACTGGTCTTCTCCATGTGCTCCACTCTGATGGTTAGATTAAGAATTTTCTGTTGATACAGTTCAATCCTTTCTGAGTACTCTTTAACCTTAAAGGGGAAAAGAAAAAAAAAAAAAGTTACAAACTCAAGTCCAGGTTAGAAAATTAAACAAGCCTGCTTGACATCTTTATCATATTTCTGAGTATCCTATACATAACTTCCCCATACTTGATATATTTATTCTTCACATAAACTGCATAAATGAAATTCTCATCACGTACATAAAAAATGTAAAACTTAACCCTCGTTTATTGTTGGCAGTTCCACAAAGTCCCCTCAGGAATGCCTGAGGATAACTGAAGGCAGAATTTTATTCAGAGTCTTCCATTTTTGTAATTCCTTGCCAATATTGTTTCTGTGAGCTAATTTTATCCTCAGTATTCCAACAACTTACATTGGCAATTTTTTTATTAGGAAATCTGCAATGATTTATCTCATGAAAGCAACCTAAGTAGGCTGGAAAATGCAATAAAGGATTCCCAAGTTTTTCAACTTTATTTCCTATTAACTCAGAATCCAAATAGGATTTTAACCTGTGTACATTTGAATTGTGTCAAAAATTTGCAGAATTGGTTTGTGGTTTATCTTTGGCGGGGGGGGCAAATGTTTAAACACAGTGTTAAAATCAAATCTGGTTTAAATGAAAGTGAAAAATTTATTGCAGGCTTTAGCTAAAGTAATTTACATGGCAGCCTCTTCAGCCTCTGAACCATTAAATAGTTGTCTGGATAAATATATTTTCACACATATCTGCTGAGGTAAAGGTCACAGCATAAGCATTGCGATGCAGAATGCTAAGTATATTATATGGGCTTGGAACATTCCTTGGAAAATTTTAGTTCCTTTAAATTCAACTCTTTGGGAAATTTCTCTCCCATATGCTTCACAGAAATCACATCTGTTTTGCCTTAAGCCAATGTAATTATATCACAAGAGGTAAGTAGGAATAAATATTATTAGTTTGTTGCACCAGTAACTCCATATTTATACTCTCAGATAGTATTTGTATTAGTCCCTCTCTCTACAGCACTACAACTTCTGTAGCTATTACTTCTTCAACTGAAATATTTTTAGTCTGCATCCTGTCAGCCATTCTTATGTTATCTTAACATAAACCAAAAGTCAGTATTTTTCCCCATTGGCTCTGGAACAGCCTCCAAAATCCTGTCAGGGAATTAAAATCGTGGAATCCCTGTTCTCCTTTTCTGGCAGCAGCCCCTGGGACTGGGAGGCCAGCAAGAACACTTGTCAAATAATTCCTTGTAATTTTTCCTGAATCCCCTGTGGACTGATGAACATGTATGGGAGCTCATAATGTGAAAATTCATGAATGACGGAAAAGATGTGTTAAGATCACATGATACCCAGTGATTTGGTTTAAGGAGGAGAACCCTAACCAAGAAGGGCCTCTTTTCAAAAGTATAGTTTTCAATAGCAGCATCACTATACTACAAATCTGAAAGAAACTGTCAAGTCTCCATAAGCTGCAGTGGAAGCATCCTGAGTCAAAAAAAAAAAAAATGGATGCTCTAGATCTCCCAGGTCAAGCCTGAGTAACTTCACACTAAGGAATAACTAAGATATTTATTACAACTAGGGATCATAAATGATAGCATATAAAGACTTAGGCCCAACTCCTTATATCTGGCTGAAAAAAGAGGCAGCTGGGATGCCTTGCCCTAGCTGTCATCATCTGCTAGGAAGGAACAGTAGGAAGAGCTGGGCAATGTTCTTGGAAAAGCTAGAAGTAGATGGACCTTACACTTTCACTGATCACCAAACTCAGTCTGGAATTGGAAGATATCCTCAAAAAAAAAAAAAAAAAATCTTCAAAGGTCAGTGTCCAAACTGTATGTCTAGGTTTTGCACAACAACAACAAAGAAAACAGATACGATTACATTCTGAGAAATGTAAACCTGGTCTATGTCTGAACAAAATTGCATTGCTACATGGTATTACATATACCATAGAGGTATTTGGAAATCTATTCAGGCATTACCAATCCTTCTCATAATAATAATAACAACAACAATAATAATTCCACAGTGCAGCTCAAGTCTTCAAACCATTGAAACGGACCACTGGAATTAGTAATGGGTACTTGATGACTGCAGGACACTGACCCAAAGTTCTCCTCCCACATCAGACCGTTTTCACTCAGTCAACCACCTAGGTCATTTAAGAAGATGTCAACACCATCCAGTGGGCTATAGCTGAGAAATACCTATAAGTTAAGCCTGAACTAGCCTCAGCACTCCACAGTGCTCTAAACAGCTCAAGTCAACTTAGCTCATGGATCTTCTGGCTAATTATTAGGCAAATATTATTTTATCAGCAGTGCTGCTCTAAAAGGTCTATACTGCTTTTGTAGACAAATCCAGCAAATAGGCCAAGCATGTCCACTGAGTGGACATTCCAGCCTGCTCAGATCTGGCTCAGGAGTTTCTGTAGTTTAGAAATGTTAGTTGAAAAAGGAACATGGTGTTGCTCTGTTGCTTGGCAGATAGATTTAAGCAGCTTGCAATCTCTGCTTTTCTACTGTATCTACTTGATAGGGACTGGCTAGTGTCTCTTGATAGACTGGCACAGAAAATGTGTATGTGGCCCATATTTAGGGACACAGACCAGCAATTGGGACTGACTGCTGCCACATTTGTCATAAAAGTCTAAGTAGGGTATGATGAGTGCATATGGCTTGTATTAGTCCTTTATAAGTAGAGAATACAACCATGTGAGGCACATGTTGGGGAAAAAATAAAATAAAATAAAATCCTAGTTCCATTTTTTCCTTCTTTCCAAGCATTATCATCCTCATGGAATGAAAAGGGCAGGAAAAATCTTCAATGCTCATATACTGTGTCATTTACCTGCAATTGGTATTTATCAACACAGGTTTTGCAGCATGCAAACAGACACTTCTCCAGCATGCATATGGAGAGTACAGAAGGGGGAACAAAAGTGCAAGATGAAGATGTAAAAGAAAGAAGTGGGAAGATGTGTAGGTAAGAAAGAAGTGACAAAACCATCAACCTTATAAAGTCACCTGGCCCAGGACACTGGCTTCAGGCAGGTGTGACCTCCACAGACCCATAAGGAGTACAGCTGGCAAGCAGTCTGCAAGCTGACCCTGAGAAGAATTCCACTCCAGGCTAATCTGTTTTGAAAACAGCTGTTCCTGGTGGAGGGCAGGAGTGCTTTCTTCTCCTGTTTTAGTTACGTGAGGATGTTGTTGCTGTTATGAGCTAAATTCTGAAAGATACTTTCTCTCCTTGGGATGAAGTGCAGATCCATCCCTGTTACTGGTGTCCTCTCCCCTTTCTTATTGAAAGGAGCAGCCAATTCCTGCTTTGCTCTGAAAGGTTAATTTTCTTCTGTAATCATAATTACATTGGCAAAGGTTGATGTGACAGAGGAAAAATTAGTCTGGTATTTTCAGCCTACGGTTTGCACTCATTTGGCACATGAGAGCATCTCTTTATCTGCAAGCTTCCTTGCCTGCTGATTCTATAAAAGGACCCCCTTGCTTTTTGAATTAGCCTACAATCAGGGAAAAGGTTAACGATTCAATCAGGTTGTTTATCTGGGACTTCTAGCACATGGAAAGCATCCTTAAGAGGGTCCAATCCTGCAGCTCTTACCTAGGAAAAGCTCCCATGAGCTTCAATGGGTGTTTTAGAAGAGAGAGTAAGGCAGGGATTCTCAGAGTCAAAAAAGCAATCACTTAGTAGAAATTCCCACCCCTGTGGTGAAACTAGGTTAGGTTTGAGATAAAAAGTCAGTTTGGGATATGAATTTTCTACAAAATTGCAGATGGCAGAATGATTCCCTAAGATTTTGCTCAGGATCATATCTGATAATGATTAATGAGAATGACGCTTTCCTGTTTCATTATTTCCTGCTTTCTTTCCTTAAGTATTATAATGACAAACATAACTTATGGGACAGTGTAAGGAGGGCTTTTTCCACAACTGGGAAGGTGAAGAACTTGTATGCATGGAGACTTATGCACCACGATATCTTAGATTACTTAAGTTCAGATATCAGTAGGGCAACGTTCAACAGTTTCTTCTTTCTACAGAAAAACAATTTCATAACTGAGAAAAGTTACACATACGCAGTTACACCAAAATACAATCTGTTCATTTTCATTTCTGACCCAAAGTGTCTCTTTGCCTGTATCTTAGTGAAATGTATGTCACACTTCATCTAACTAGAAGTATTGTAACACAGCTGGGCTGATTGCTCTCGACAGGACAAAATTCAGTGAAGCCTGAGTGAGGTCAAGAGTTTTCACTGTCTGCAGCTAGAATTGAAAGCCAAGGTCAGTGGCAACACTGCAGTACACTGCTGGGCACCTGAAGACAATACAGTTACACCAGTTGACAGCAGCTGGCAACCCAGACATTAAAGTCCACAGCAGGGATTCAGCTTGTCCTGACGTTAAAGGTGAGTTTCAGATACAAATTTAGACAACTAATTTCAGGTATCTATAGTAACCTGTGTCTTTACAGGAGCAAGACGCCTGAACTCCCGTTATAGTCAATGAAGATATGAGGTTGTCCACACAGAGAGGTCAAGCAGTGCTTGAGATGCTCTGCAGATATGCATGGGTCTGGCAGATACGGCACACATCCTAAAGGAGACAAGCACCATTCTGAGGATAGTACTGGTAAGAGGCTGGTTACGCCATGGCAAGCACCTGGAAAAGGTGGCACACAAACACCTTGAAGAATCACACCAAGTTTCTTGGCTGGGAATCCTGGCTCTGATCCTGTCCCAGTGCAATTAGTTTAAAGCTCTGGCAGTGACCACAGTGGGAACAGTATGAGGATCTGAAATCTCAGTGATTGTCACGGATCATTAGCTGAGCTACACCTCCTTCCTGCAAGTGATCAGGTAATTTCTGTGCTCGGAGGCAGTGGGACTTCTGTCAGCTGGCCGTTCACATCCCTGTTGACAGCCGAATGCATTTCACCGTCAGCTCCGGTTCTTTCAAAACAAATGATTTGAGCTGAAAGATATTTCCATAGGATCCTCTGCCTGTTGTGGGTTTTTATGCCTAACTTCTTATCTGGTTTTGATTATACCAGAGGAGGTTTATGAATATTTATGCTTAGAATTTATAATTTAATGCTGTGCCTTTTCTGCTGATTAATTCAAGGACACTTCATTTCTTAAGATGCTTAGTTCCTGAAGAAAACACTTTCTGCTGGACACCTAATCTGAATCCTGAATATTTATCCGCTACCAAAAGTCAAAGGCAGATTTCTGCCTTCATAGGCAGCTTCACCCAGTGCACTGTAGCATGTATGGGTTTGACCGAGTTCCTCAAAAAATGGATATGAATTCATGTAACAAGCAGCTGAAATAGCTAAAGGTATGTTTGTCTTCAACAACAATGTATAATTCAGTACTCTCACTGCCACAGCTTCAGATGTTGACACAGATGTTTGCTTGTTTGTTTTTTAATCCATGAAATCGAAAAGAGTGAGGGGACAAATATTCACCTTCTTCACTCTGGGCTGTGTTGACCTTTCTTCTCTTTCCCTTCATTTCCCTCTTACAATCTGGCTGTCCTGATACAAATAATAACACATGAAGGAGCAGGAGGCTTGGCTTCCTATAGCTCTGTGTAGCAATCACAAACCAGTAAAACCAAGCCAAAAGAGGAAAAATATAAATCTTCTTCCAAAAATACCATATGCCTCTAGCTGAAAAGGCCTAGAAAATAAACCTAAGGGTATTCAAATGTTTGACATGCTATAACGTCAAAGGTATGCGATTTAATCACCCTTCTCCTTGTTCTTACAGAGACCTCTTTTCTCTGCTGTCTGAAAGACAGGTCACAGAAAAGTGCTGACTGCTGTACTCTTCCACAGGAAACTACTTTTCAGTAAAGATACAATTATTATATTTATAAGAAAAGAACACCTTACCACAGAAAGCTCTCTCTCAAATTTCTCCACAAGCGTTGTGGCTATCACTTGCAATTGCTCAGCCTTCTGCACAGGAAAGGTGGTATCCGGCAAGTACACAGAGCACTGACAGTTTCCACGGTCATCCAGAGAGCCAGACACATTGGCAAAGAGCTGTAATAATAAATCAATGAAGAAAAAAGTGTCAATATTCTTCTCTAGAATCAGTAGCTAATGTCTGACAATAATCTGAGCTGTGACAATCATAGGATCAACAACTTTGCTGCTAGACATCTTTCACATTTTTATTCAAAGGAATTCATAATATCTGGTAATTTTTTATTTATTTATTTATTTTTGTCTCAGCCTTACAAATATTTCTGAAAACAGTTAAATACTGCTGTAAAGATTTTACCATTGGAAAAACAGAAGTACATAATAGTCCTTACTTTCCCAGCCTTGTGGACAATGGTCCTAAGATAATGAAGTAAGATTTCCAGGAGATGGAAAAGCATACAACAGCAAGAAAATAATAACTTAGCAACTTACTGTCTTACTGCTCTGTTAATATGAATTGAGTCAATCAGATCATCTAGTCATTTCCATCCATTGAGCTCAAAGCACCAAAATAGAATTAGCAGAAAAAGTTTTGAAAAGAAACATGCTTCATCTGAAAATTTTCAGCCAGCCCCAGCAAACAGACATTTGAATTTAATTATTCACCACTGAAAGGTGAAGAATTAAATGTGCAGGCTCAACCTAACATAGAGATAATTCTTTTTCTATAGTTTTCCACATCATGCTTCCACATCACAGCCTGCTCATCCTCAGTTGTGGATGGTCTACAAATCTATCACCCATGCCATTAGCACGAATTGCCTTGTCCTGACTGTCTGCATGCTCAGAGCATCATCACTGGAGCAATGGGTATGGTGTATGGAAAGGTCAGGGCTGGCAATTCATGATTTTGACATAATTTACAGCCAGATCACATCATTTCCTATAAACACTAGGCTGAATGCAGAGAGTGTTTGGGGCAGTGATGTATTTGGGTTTTGCTGGTACACAAAACATTTACCAGTTCATAAATCTATCACAAATTTATTAATAAAGATATCTGATGTTACTTTAAAATATTCTGGCACATACTTCAATGCAGCTTCAGATTTTAAAGCTACAGGCTTGCTCTTCAAATATATTTCTTATTATAATCTCTCCTCCTGTCTTGCAGAAATCCCAGTGTTATTCATGTATTTTCTCTTTGTTTCTCCCTCTTAAAAATAAAAAAGCAAATAAAACCATTAACCAAAAGCTGAAAATTCAGCACTTCTTCTCTTGCTTTTTCACAGTGATTTCAACTAATTTTTTCACCACTGAATGAGCCCAGAAAACAGAATGATGGCCAGCAGCAAAGCTCTCTTGCTCTGTAAGCCCAAGAAAAGGACCAGCAGCATGCAGGAGTTCACACTTTTGGCTACCTCTTTTCCACAGCCATAACAAACAACGTGCATCTTATTTTGAAAGAAATCATGAAAAGACAGTTTATCTGTGTTATTCAAGTACCATGGGCCTTAAAACTTCACTCCAGGCCAGACTGCTGAAGACATTTAACATGAAAAGAAGCAGAGAAGTATCTCATAGGATTCCAGAGAGTCCCAGCATTGATTTCCCTGCCAGGTAGGTTACCAAAGCACTTCTGGAAATCCCACTGAGAACATACTGCAAAATATTTCTAAGTTTCTAAGCCCCTTTAAAGATACATCTTTCAGCACCTAAGCTAGTATGAAAAAAGAAGGAAGGAAGGAAGGAAGGAAGGAAGGAAGGAAGGAAGGAAGGAAGGAAGGGAGGGAGGGAGGGAGGGAGGGAGGGAGGGAGGGAGGGAGGGAGGGAGGGAGGGAGGGAGGGAGGGAGGGAGGGAGGGAGAAAAGAAAGGGAGGAAGAAAGGAAAGAATATGGCTTAGTGAGTATATGGATTCTTCTCTAAGAATTCAAACATTCAACCAAAATGATCCTCCCAAAAATAACTCCAAGTTTTACATTCCCTATGAGAAACAATCATTATATTTTAATATTGGTGTTGAAAGAGAGCCTAGATTTGAAGGCAGAGCTTCACTTCAGTAAGTGATATTTATATGCATGCCAAGAGATGGTTTCCCCAAAGGAGCAGGCAGCCTGGGCAGGCAGAACTGCTTCCACTCTTCCATTGACATTACTAACATCAGCATCACGATGTTGATGAGACCAAGAAGCACTGTTTAGTTAAGATTCTCCTGGGTCAACAAGTGTTTCAATCAGAATATAATACCAGTCAAATGATAACCATGTAACAAAACTGTCTTCCCTCATCCTGTGGAAAAATGCAAAAGACAGGCTGTTACTTTTGATGGAGTTCTATGTTTTTTAAAGTTTAATAATTTACACTGAATCTTTAAAAGAGAGCAAACTGTCCTAGCCTACAGCAAGGACTTGACAGCAATATTTTACTCTGTAAAATTAAGTTGTTAAATATACATAGTTGAAGCTATGAGAAATGTTCCTTTCCCACATCCCTTCAATTTAAGAAGGAGAGTAAGAGCCAGCAGGTACCTGATCTGCTGAAAACTGGGAAATTTATTCATCTGCTTAAATGCGGACTTAGGGTTACAGCCTCAAAACGACCTAGACATTTCAGTGCTTAACATCCAGCTACACAGCAGTCCAGCGGCATTCACAGATTATAATTCTGAAGTAACTGCTCCCTCTTCCTAAGAAAATGGATGGGATCCACAGAAACCACATGGCAAGGACAGAAACCATCTTAGCTGGACAAGGAAATGCAGGGGGTTTGGGTCCCATTACTGAGTATCAACGAGAAACTCCTAACTCCATTTAACTTTCCAGAGGTACCTGCATCGTGTTGAGACGTGGGTGTGTGCAAATGTCATGGAGGTCAACAGGACTGAGTGCAAGGTCCTGCATCTGGGCTGGGGCAATGCCAAGACTAAATACAGGCAGGGCAGAGAATGAATTCAGAGTGGGCCTCGGAAGAAGGACCTTGGGGTGCTGGCTGATGAGAAGCTCACCATGAGCCAGCAAAGTGCACTTGAAGCCCAGAAACCAACCATATATTGGGCTGCATCAGAAGTGTGGCCAGAAGAGTCAGGGAGATGATTGACCCCCTCTGGTCTGCTCTTGTGAGACCGTGGAGTGCTGCATTCAGTTCTGGGGCCCTCAGCACAAGAAGGACATGGACCTATTAGAACAAATCCAGAGCAGGACATGCGGATGATCAGAGGACTAAAGCACCTACGAAGCACCCCTACGAAGACAGGCTGAGGGGATTGGGGTTGTTCACCCTGGAGAAGAGAAGGCCCCAGGTAGATGTTTTAGCAGTCTTCCAGTACCTTCCAAGGGACCTACAGGAAAGCTGGGGAGAGACTCTTTGTTAGGGAGGGGAGTGATAGGATAAAGGGGAATAAATTTAAACTAAAATAGGGTAGGTTTGGATTAGGTATGGGAAGAAATTCTTTACTCAGAGTGTGGTGAGGAACTGGACCAGGTTGCCCAGAAAAGCTGTGAATGCCCCATCCCTGGAGGTATTCAAGGCCAGATTGGATGAGGCTTTGGGCATCCTGATCTAGTGAGAGGTATCTTCTTCCAACCCAAACTATTCTCTGATTCTGTCATTCTAAACTCTCTGCTGGAGGCAGAGATTTAATGCTCTCTCACAGGAGGTCCTTCCACAAATTCCAGATGCCACACTGGGCTAGCATGGATGATAAAGTCCTGCTGTCAAGCTGCGTCTTTGGCCTGATCTAGAACTGTGCATTTTGGATAAACACTGTTCTTGACAATTAGGTTGCAGGCCCATTCAGAGCAAGTGTGTTCTGTTGAATTACCTCCAAAGGAAACATGCTATTGAGCTGTCACTGACAAAGAAAGGGAAAGAAACCGACTCCTGAAATCCGCAGGCCTTGGAGTTGAGCACTGTACAAGGAGGCACAAAAATCAGATTGAATCCCTCTAACAGGAAACAGATGAATACAATTTCAGCTAAGTAGAACGAGGAGAATCATGATTTTCTCAGTGCCAGCAACCACCAATGGACACTTCTCATAGGTGACAGAATGTAGCTTCAAGGCCCTGCTCTGGTTTACATGGGGAAGGCAGAGTTAAGAAGCAGCATTCACCTCCCTCCAGGGAGACCATAACCATCAAACTGTTTGGCATATTGCCATCAACACCCAATGGTACCATCTTTTTCATATCTGGGGTCCCAATCAGAAGTCATGAGGACAATCTCAAATCTTTAGATGACCAATCTTTAGATGATCAAATCTTTAGATGACCAAAGCACTGAATGACACAGAAGCATTATTAATGACTTTGGGAACTCCACACTGCCTAAGTCATAGATATAAAACACCTACAGGCCTATTCCTGGGCAGCCTGACTTACCTGCGTAAGGTTTAAACCTCCAAGTGACTGCATAGCATTTAAAAAATAGGACATAATTTCTTAATTATGCTCTTTGTTGGACTTTATTGAACAGTATGTAAAGGTCATACCTCTGGGGTCATGCGCAGGTGGCTGGCAGTTGTCTCTCTAGGCTGACTCAGATACTGAAGAGTTGTATCGATAAGAGGAGACTAAAAAGGAAATAAAAACTTCTTTCAGTGTGAATTCCTGCATTTGGCACCATCCTTTCCCCACCAGCTAGCCCCCATCCTGCAGCTCCAAAGCACTTTGTTTTGATTGTGGGAGCTGTCCCCAGCAACTGTAAAATTAATTGGCTTTCCTAATCAGCAGCTAATGAGACTAGCATTTCCCACAGCATAGTGTCACTTCGTGGACACCTCTTCTCGAAGAAATGCTAAGTGTGACCAGCAGAAGGCAAGAGATGCTCAGCCTGCCCAAAAGGTGTGAGCTGAGGCTGTGACAGATATAACACCAAGAGCCTATCATGGCCCCACGTAGCGGGCTGAGGATGGTGTATCATGGTGATGCAATACACTGTTACCCATCTGAGAGCCTCACCAAAACCCATGGCAAGATGGGAACTGTGGTGAGGTACTCTCAGCGTCAAATGGTGTGACAGACTGAGCACCAAATGGGCTTCCCCCACAAGAACACACCCACTGCTCCATCTTTCTGCATTTCCCAAACCCCAGCTGGAGCCCCATTCCTGAGCCAAGGAATGGTGGAGAGTTCCAAGTGGCTGGCAAAGGGACGCTCTATTAAAGAGCACAGCATAAACAAGCTTTTGTGGGACAGTTTGTCAAAGAAACCCATTTGAACAACCATTTGTGTGTTCAGACAATCACACTGGAAATGGTGGGGGCAGCCGGTAGCAATTAACAGTGGCAGGGCAGAGAGCACCACAAATTGTGTAAATTACACACATTCAGAACTAACTTTAAGCCAAGCAGGATGAGGAGAAGTTTTTCCCATATTAAGTTTCCTCTCCCCAGTTCAGCAGCATATATTTAAACCTCCATTTTAACTTTTGCAGCTTTCTGTCCCTTACCCAGGTAAATGCACCTTCCAAGGAGATGCTGACTTCACTGACTGTAGCCACAGCACTACCAAACTTCAAAAAAAAAGTAACTAGGGGAATTCAGGCTTTTCTGGTTGGTGACTAAACCGGACAAATCAGAAAGAGTCATTGGGAACCACAGTGGGAGTCTTCTTAATGTTAACTCAAAAAAAAATTTACTATAAAGCAGTCATTTGGGGTCAACCTAAAACAAAATATTTTGTTCCATTTGGGAATGCTTTAAAGCTATTTGCAAAACTTTTCTTCTGATAATTTGACTAGTTTTAAATTAAAAAAAAAAAAAAAAAAAAAAAAAAAAAGAAGCAGTACAAAATCAAAATAAATCTCTCACTGATGCCATTTTTTACTTTTTAAAATATTTTCAAAGTTTTCTCTTCTCCCCTCATCCATTACTTTTTTTTTTTTTTTTTCTGATTGATGGCTTTGGTTTGAACTTCCCTATTGCCCAGCCAGATACAGTTTTAGGGCAAAGAGGGGGAGCACCTCACAAAGAACACCCAGCATGGCTTTCATGTGCCTGGACATTGATTATGACAGCAATGATGCATCTGGTAAAGCCCCCACCTCCCAACTCCTTCCACATCAAAGATGTGGATCCTTTCCTGTTATAAGCCCTTGCTAATTAATTAGAAACTACACAGAGCATTAATATCCACTCGGATCCTCAGTGGGAGTTGCACTCATCTAACCAAAGGCAGAATTTGATTCTGATTTTAAACCCGTGCCTCATTTTTACATTTATTACCCAGTCCCTATACATTAGCTGGGGGGAGGATGGAGGAATACTCTAAGGTTTCTCCATGCAAAGATCTCAACATTTGCCCCATAACTTCTCAGCAACCTGGAAAGATTTTACACCAACATAAATGGCATGAGAAAAAATGAAGGCACCAAAGCTTATGTTTTCAGACCCCCATCTTACCATGCTTGTCGTTGCCTCTGTGGTTGAAGCCTGTGTGACTATGCTCAGCATGAGGAGCAGCAGAGCCACCTGTATGTGCTTCATCTTCTCAGCCAGCAGATGTGATAGCCAGGGGACAAGGGAGCTCTTTTATTGTAAACTCTGGGGATTTCCCCGGCCAAATCTTAAGGAACTTCATGATTTTTTTATGTTTTGGGGGGAAGCAATGTCATGAAGTCATATAATAATAGGTGTTAAATGACTAATATGCAAAGAACATACAAGTTACGCACTGTTGGAAATTAACTACCCTCCAATTACTTAACAAGAAAGCTTTCCCATATGGTGCAGTATCTAATCTTAATCTACGTTATGCAGGATACCAGGTGTTTGTTTGCTACCGTAGGTAGATAAGACTTTTCCTCTTAATGTGACTCAGACACAAAATTTCTCATAGACCCATTCCGAGGTATGCAGACAATGCAGGTCAGAACAACAGGTCAGGTTAGTCTTTTACACACCAGGAACACCCTCCCTGTTCTTCAAAGGCCTACAAACCTTTTATGATCAGTAAAACGTGGGGTCTTAACTCTCACATAGCACAGGTGGGACACAGTCAGACTTCCTCCTCCCATTTCCCTTCCAGCAGTAAAATCTTGTACATTAACACTGTATATCCATTAGTGTTTACCCATACATTAACTCTGTTACCCACTAATACTACTCAATTGTTCTCCTTCTACGGAGCTGCATGCCAGCTGACCACAATAATTCACTGTTCTGTCTCTGAAGCTCTGATCTGGAAAGCAATAAAACAAAGCCATAGACTATGTGTAGTGTAGCCCCACGGTCCCCATCTGCAGCTTGGAGTTAGAGCCCTTTTCCGCTCTCATGGTCCTAAATGCCAAGCTCAGAACATAGAGAGGCATGGGTTTGGACTACAGGTAATTTCTGTGGAATAGCGTTAAGGATGTTAACATTGACCTCAACCCTACAGCTTCCTCCCTAAAACTGTTCCCTGCTTCCTGAAGGGCAGAGAGGGACCACACTACAGTGTGACTGGCAGTATTTGCCTGTAGTTCCCAGTGCATTCAAACCACCAAGTGAAATCCCCACTTCCAGAAGGCTACAAGCTACCACCCTTGTGGAATCAGCTGTGAGCCCTCAAGCCCCCATCCGGCAAAACAGAAATTAAAATTACTCTCCAGACTTTGTAGATGACTGTGAAAATTAGCTTGCGAGGAATTTTCCAGTTGGGACAGAGTAAATGGCCATGTCTGTGCTCTTGCCAAAGAAGCCAAGAAGTCCCCAGACCAAAAGGCGTCACCTGTTGTCCCTTTCTGTGCCAGTGCCTGTATTGTCAATGAAGCATTTGCAGTTTCCTTCTTCATTCTGGCCACTGTGTGGTCAGTGGCTGCAGTAGCATGCGAGTGGAGAAAGTGATTGGGAGACTCTTATTCTTTTCAAACACTGGAAGGCAGCAGTAAGAGCAGGAGCGGCAGTACTGCCTCGTGTGAAACATGTCTGAAACAGCTTTCTTGTTGCAATCACAGCATTATCAGCTCCAGGTTACAAATGGAGAAAGGAAAATGAGGCTTATGGTAGATCCATACTAGAAAAGTCTTCAGAGCAATGAAGTCCATTATGGGTGACGTTTTTAACCACAGTTTTGCATTAGCTTAAGCCCCCAATAGATTCATGAAACTGGCAGCAGCATCTTTTTGAGTAGCTTATTCTGTAGGGCATGGATATAATCTGTTCTTGCAAAAACACTTTTCACAGCAGAAGTGGCATTTCCACTGGAGGATTTCATGGTACAGCTAATAATTTAATGTAAGGTAGACAAGACCTGGAAGGCATGTAATAGTGTCTAAGCTCAAAGAACCAGAGCCATGGTGGTAAAGGAAGAAACCAAATCCAGGCCTCTTCCTCTTATAGCAATCTGCTTTCCTGGGGTAAATCACAGTTCTTTGAAGGGAATGGAGAGACCTAAGCTGTCATTAGTGTTTTTGTAAGGGCTCAAGCCCTGAGTCCCCATCCAAGAGGAGCACACTGGCTCACATCATAGCAGTTACAGGCTACCAACCATTCCCTACACTGCAAAAAAAACACTTTGCCCACTCCAGGAGAGAATTCAGGTGAAAAAGAGCATATATATGTTGCAGGCAACCAGTAAGTCTATGCTGAATCCCGGTTTACTCTCATATTGTGATATCCTGATATTGCATAACCACCACTTCTTTCCCAACCTGTCTCTTTGTGTGAATGAACTAATCTTCTCCAAACAAAACTGAAGGATGTCCTGGAAACAGACCAAAAGGTGCTGTTGATGAGGGTTTGTTCCTTATTGACCCTGTTGGGTCCTAACCAGCTCTCTAATGTTGTCCTACCAGGTCTTGTTCTGACTAATACCTGCCATCCTGGCATATCCCTTGTTAGGAAATACTGCTCCAGTGGGCTGCAACCCAAGCCTCAGGTTATCTTCAGATGTTAGACCCAAAGGGCCCAGAAGAGACTCAAAAGGACAAATGCTTCTTCATGTGGATATGAGGGGAACAAGCAGGCTGCTGTAATGAGCCAGCTTGGAGCAGGGTGCAAACAGACCACCCCGCAACACTTTTCCTTAAAATCAGGCATTTAGCAGGGTAGACGTAGCCTCAAGGGAGAGCCTAACATGGGGAATAGGGAAAACAGCCTGATGGTACAGATACACCTATACATACAGGAGGCTCAGGGGAGACCGTATTGCTTTCTACAACTACCTCAAATGAAGTTGTGGGGAGCTCTTCTCACAGACAACTAGTGATAGAACTAGAGGGAATGGCCTCAAGTTGTGCCAGGGGAGGCTCAGGCTGGAAATGAGGAGACATTTCTTCTCAGAAAGAGCAATCAGGCATTGGAACAGGTTGCCCAGGAAGGTGGTGGTGTCACTGTCCCTGGGGGCGTTCAGGGAAGTGATGGACATGGTGCTTAGGGACATAGTTTGGTGGTTGACAGTGGTGGTAGGGGGATGGTTGCACCAGATGATCTTGGAGGTCTCTTCCAGCTCTAATAATTCTATGATTCTCTAGGCACTGAACAAGCTGCATGCTCCATTCCCAGCCCACACAGCGGCTCCTTGGAAGCCTTCAAACTGCTTGAAGGCAGCTGGCTATGGCACGCACAAGCCCACTGACCTTGCTAAGGCACCTGGAGTCCTGCTGGCTACAGAAAGGACAACCTGGCAGCACAGGCGGCCACACTTGCAGGCTCCAGTGCGTAGCAGGCAAATGCAGATTTAAAAGCAGCTTTGGGCAGACAGCATAGACACAGTTTGTGAGTTTGGAGCCTGGATCTCTAATCATGAGAAAAACCTGTTTTCTGAAATAACAGTGAGCCTCTGTTCCTTCCAGAGACCAGTACTGCAAATGAACTGCAAAGCACATATAACAGCTTCTCACCAGTTTTTCTTTTATCAGTGATAGCCAGTCCCGATAAAAGGAAGCAAATATTAGCCAAGTAATGATAGCTAATCAGTCTTTGGCAATTTCTCTTGCATATCTGTTTGTACATTGTCTCACAGAGACAATGGGGATCTACATTTTTCTTCCTAGTCTAGGCAAAATTACTAGTACATATAAGTACTTTTAGATCAATGAAGCACCCTTCATCTGAAAAATAAGTCAGGCCTTCTGTCTGCATTTTAGAGGAGAGAAACTTTGCTTACATGCCATAAAGGAAGCTTGCACTTATTTAAGAATTTCCACCTGAAATAAATAAATAAATAAATAAATAAAATAAATAAATAAATACAGGAATTTTCTCTTTGAAGAGCTGCACCCACCATTACTTCCTTGTTGTGCAACAGACCTAGTGGGCAATCCGGGGCAAAGTCCCCTGGGCACAGACCTTCTCTTTTATTTCAGAGGGAGATCGACACCAAAATGCTTTTGCAAAGAAAAGAAACAAAAACTTTATTCTCTCAGAGGCCTGTTCAGCAGAGCCCTTCTCAAACCCAGCCTAACTTAGTCATTATGTTTATTATGGCAGGGATTAATGTGATTATCATTCAGCAGAGATAGGTGATTCAGATCATCTGCTGTCCAAAGCGTCTGGCTAAGTTTGAAGTCTTTGGAGTCAAATACTATTTGATCATACTTGGTGGTATGAATATAACCCATCTACATATGGAAAAGGGAGTATTTCCATGCCTCAGAGGCACGTGTTGACATCAAATGCATGAATAAGAGGCACTCATCTATTACAGGAACAGGAACCAAATTACACATGCAGAATTAAAGGCACTAAGATATACCTTGTCTCAGTTAGCTTAGCAGGCCAATGACAGGATGAAGAATTGAATGTAGGTTGCGCATCTCGGTTCCAACTATCAAATCATCATGAATTCATATATTTATTCAAGTTTATGTGGCAATCTCAATTTGTTTCTGAACTGCTCAGGACATTCCCAGGACAGGGTTACGGTGTACTTTCTTACAAAACAAATAAAAAATAAAACCAAGAAGATTCAAAGTGGGATGTAGTGTCTAATTGTGTTAACCTGACAGAACGGTTCAGAAAGTACTGCACTGCACCTTACATTTTGCAAGTCTAATGTAAAAGCATTTCCACTCTTCGCCTGCAGACGCGATAAGACACCAAGCCTCGTGGAATCAGCATTCCAGTGCCTGTCGTCCGGTTCCCTGTATACTGTGGATTTAGCAAAGCTTGCCTAAAGCTTGTAAAATCTCCCCTCCCACCAAAATATGTATTTCTGAAGTAAAGCCAAAAAGACAGAAAAAAAAATATATTAATTCAAACTCATCCTGTGACATGAGAACATAACAGATAATATTCCTTTTTTTATTTATTTATTTTTAAGGTGATTGCAAAATGATTCTTCCTGAATCTAACCGGTTTGTGCTTCTTTGGTTATAGGATCATCATGTAGTGAAACAAGAAGGTCAGGGTGGGCAGTGCTCTTTGGTTAGACAATTGACACCATAAAATCCTACTGTTTCACAAGATCATTGTCAGACATAGCCCTATTCTACTGTGCTAATCGCTTTACATATTACTTGCCCTTTCTCCCCTCTAAGAGATTCACATGCTTATGCAATGTATTTTGGTGTCACCTATCAAAAAGGCCATCTTTTTGGAAGTCATTATGCAAATACTTTCATTTAATCCCTTTATCAGT